CAAAAGTTCAAAGTTTGCTTTAAAATGACAACATAGTAGAGCTGGCCACGTGTGTGTAACATTTTGAGTCCTCTTCTTCCAGGTAACCTCTGGTAACCTCTGTCTAAGGTCCTGGCTCAGAGTCCCAGACAGGGTTTTCAATAGCAAAATGAGTCAGTGTGGCTTTCCTGCTCCCCACCTTACCTGTCAGGGACAATTAGACAAGAAGTAAAATGTATACTCATGCGGAAGAGCCCCTTGGATGAGGTGCCCCACCTAAGTGCCCTCAGACCTGGTGTCTCTTCCCTTGGAGGCATTTTCCAGGGAGTCTCAGGAGGAGACAGTTCTGCTGGTATTTTTTCCAGAGGAATATTCTGGCAGTTTTCTCTGAATTCTCCCTTTTAAAAGCTCTTTCAAGACTTTGAGTTACATAGGGGAGAAAATTCAATTAGATAATAATGATCTTCAATATCCACTAATCCACATTTTTACCAAGGCGTGTCTACCCAGGCTGAAGGTAGGCTTCACCATTTCATTGTTCAAGCTTGGAATCTCTTGATGGCGAAACAAAGCAATTAATATGTTGAAACATTGAGTAGATTCAGACTTTCATTTTTTCATTTACTGAAGAGCTTTTCTTGAATTATCCCATCTCTGTCTGTCTCTCTTCATTTTCTGGTTGCCAATCTTTGACCTGATGTTTGAGGCTAGGAAGTGATGAAGGAGGTGGGGTGCTTTTGGCTTTTTGACCCAACCAAAAACCAGAATGGCCTTCTTTATGCAGCTTATGTGAAATAGGGAGTTTTGACATTTTAACCACAGAAGGAATCTTTTACCAGATTTTCTAGAAATGATCTGAAACAACTTAAAATTTCTTGGAAACACAAAAGCATGAAACAAAATTATTTACTTTGAAAATGTTCTTTGTTTATTTATTTGGGTAACTATGGACCGCATTGCTTCTTCATAGTTATGTACTGCAGAGAAAAATTCTACATGTTTGGATGTACAGTGAATGACAGCTGGAACTGAACCTCATCAAATCATACTTTGTTTAGAAAACTTAAATAAGAATTTACTAAAAATGAAGAGTAAAAAAGGAGAAAACCTCCGAGAACAGCACACAACTAGATGTTTCAAATACTCATGCTTTTCAGTGCCTGTAAACAAAAACACTGTGACTAGTACTGTGTATTCAGCCTTTGTCTATAAATGCTAAGTTTATTATATTTCATTCTAATATCATTGGACTGTTGCATGGTTAAGGCCATATCTCCCTATGCTGCAAATTATCAGGGGAAAAGAACGTACTGAGACCAGAAAGCCTAGAAGCTGGTGCTTAGCAAAGCAGGAGAGAGAACTTCTGACTCTCTCTGGGCCCTGCTTTTTATTATAGGAAGGGAGGAAGACAGGGACAGACAGGGACAGCAGATAGAGAGGAAAGAGGAAGAGACAGAGAAGTTATCCTGGACCCTTGCTACTCAGAATTGCGGTTCCTGACGTAGTAATGTCATCCTCTTACAAATACAGAATCTCAGGTCATAGGCCCTAATGATTCAGAATCTGTATATATACACAAGTGATTCACATGCACATTAAAATTTGAGGAGTATTTCAAGAAGAAGACAAGTCAGTTATATTTTATTGTGAAATTAACTAGCCGTGTGTTACCCTATGGATCAATTCCTTTCTTTTTTTTTTTTTTAATTCTTGAGACTTTAAAAAATCTGATTTAAATTTCATAGGATCATCTCAAATCTTCAGACAATGAAAGAAAAGGTTATTGTCCGGAAAAAGCAGCTTCCTAAGGTCATGATGGTGAAGCAGCAGTAAATACGGGGGCAGTTCAAGAGCCCAGTGGATCTCAGAGAATAAAAGATGAGGGTCTGAGGTTTGGCTGTTCCTCTTCCTGTGGAGATTTTGTTTGACATTGAAGCAGAACACATTAAGGTTTGATTTTATTAAAGATCACGTCATGGGTGGTCTTTAACGTCCAGGAGTGTTCAGGCTTTGAGTAATCAAAACACACATAAAATCAAGATAGATTCCAGAATGCCAAATTATTTGTTCTTTTACAATGAGAAATACAGCCATCATCTTCAAGTAGGCAAGGTCAGTCCAGTTGAATATGAAGCCAATGTACAATTTTGAAAGAGGTTTGTACATACCAGATTCCTCCAAAAAGGAAAGTAGACAACATTGCAATTAGGTAGTTGAAGGAAAGTCCTTTCTTTTGGATAACTTTTGACTATGGTGCCAGAGACACTTAAGACAGTTTTGATTAACTTCAATATCTCCTTTGGACTCCTGCATCTCCATAGGACAGTCCTACAGGCACATCCATTTTTGTATCTTTTTTTCCATTCCCCACTGAGCTGTGCTGTCTTTTGTTAATGCCTTATTTTACTTCCTCTGTAGATATGTTAATATAATTTTCTAGGCCACAGGTTTATTCCAATAAATATAACTTAAATTTGGGGGTCGGCCCTGTGGCATAGTGGTTAAGTTCGCACACACTGCTTTGGGGGCCTGGCGTTCGCAGGTTCAGATCCTGGGCACAGACATATGTACGGCTCATCAAGCCATGCTGTAGCAGGTGTCCCACATACAAAATAGAGGAAGATGGACACAGATGTTATCTCAGGGCTAATCTTCCTCAGCAAAAAGAGGAAGATTGGCAAAAGATGTTAGCTCAGGGCGAAACTTCCTCACCAAAAAAAAAAAAAAAAAAAAAATGGCTTAGATCAGTGTTTGTTAAAATAAAGTCATAGGTACATGCATCAAAATCACAGAGATGTTAAATAATTCAGCTTTCTGGCCCCACCCAGAACCACGAAAGCAGAACTAACTGGGAAGGTGCCTGGGAATCTGCATTTTTAAAACCCCTCAAATGATATTTATCTATGCAACTAAAATTTTTAATCATTGGCTCGGTCTCTACTCTGATTGCTGAATTATAAAAAACCTATACCTAACAATTTAAAAGTTGCTTGAGGCTGGTGCTTTTAGTGTAGGCTGACTTTTCCAACTGAAATTCATCGTTTAGTTTAACTCTCAGAGGAATAATTTATTTGAAGTTCTTAGAATATTCTTCATTCTGAGGCCTTCAAATAGTAATTACAAGTATATGATCATTTTACATCACCAGAAAATTTCAAACCTGAATCTACTTCCACCTTTTTAAAACATGTCCATATACTATCCATACATGATAAAATGTAATCCCTCTATACATTCTTTTACCAACTGTTTTAAGTAACTACTGTATGTTAGACCCTTTCAGATGTAATTTTTAAAGATTTTTACTAAAGTTTATACCTTCAGTTATTTCGTATCCCTTTTTGTGAATTTCATTGACCAAATCTTTTTTGAGGATCTGTGTCATATATCAGAAATTACTGTATGTACCAAAAATTCACTGATGACTAAAACAGGATGCTGGCAATAAGAATTTAATGCATGATCTAGTTGCTATTTATAGCATATTTGAATGGAAAGAAATTTCTCCAAAACACAACTTTGTAAGAACTTTGGTTTCACCTAATCCTAATCAGCAAATCTTGCAAATAATAAGTGAGGTTAAGTTATAGCTGTTTCAGTTTCTATATTTAGCAATATCTGTAAGGCTATTCCTAAAAATGTCTAAAAATTGTTTTAAAATTTGTTAGAAATGACAGGCAGCAACTTATAAAGAGAAGTGCATTCAGTTTACTGGGCAAATTAGAAATGATCAGCAATAAATTATAAATACATGATTCTAATACCAAGAGCTGTCTCTTCAACACAGAGAAACTAGCCATAACCCTTGACCAGTGTAACCAAGGGTAAGTTCTACCGCTGTCTGGGTCCTCATCTCTTTTCCTCTTTTCCAACCCAAGAAATCCCTGCTGAACTGTTGCTTTTCGCAAGTAGTCAGGGTAAGGCTGGGAGAGGGCTGTAAGACGAAGTTTTGGTATGAAAAGTCATATCCTGCTTGGGATCCTGGTTAAAATTGATTTCTACTTTGAGGAGAGCTTGTATGCCAACATATATCCTAATCAATCCTACTGATACATTCTCTCCACTCTCCCCCCAGCTCCTCTCTGGAAGGCATTTAGGATAACCTCAGGTTAATTACATCAGGTCTAATATTCCCAGGGCAACCCAATGTTAGACAGAATACATACAATAGAAATCCAATTACAGTTTAGCATTCCATTTGATTTACTTATTTTTAAATTCTAGCAGATGTTAAATGGGTTCAATAAACTCAACAATAATTTAAATTCTCTACATTATATTTAAAATAGTTCTGAGGAACTAAGTAAAATGTCAATTTCCCCCTGATTTGTTACTACATTGCATATTGCTTTCTGTGAGACTGTTAATTTTCCTGCCTCACAGCCACTGTCCTCATCAGTCCGCATTTATGTCCCCTAATTCTTTCAGATGCGGCTCCGAATGGGCTGAAGCTCCTTCTGACATTCCCAAAGGCATCGAGAGAGCCAGATCCTGACAGGAAGCCAGGAAGATGGACCAGCCATCCATTTGTTAATGTGTCACACTCGAATTACACATGGCTGGCTGCAAAATTAAATTGCTCTTTCAGGATATCAGCAGAGACATAGATACAGCATTATAGCTCTGTGTTCCTATTGTTTTCGGATCAGAAAATGCTTTACTTGTGTACCCTTGCTAAATTGTGTTCACTGAAAGTGCAGATTGAAAAGGGTATTGATTGCAGCTTTCCCCATGCCTGGAGTGGTTCTGTGGTTTCAGAATTGTACATTTAGAAGGAAAAAGTGTGTGTTTCCAGACTTGGCACCTGGAAAATTCCGGAAACCTTTAAAGACAAGGACTGATAATGAGATGATGTTGTTCAACTTCCTGGTAGTGATCTGTGCAGCTGTGCCCATTCTCCCCTTCCTAATCTAAAGTGCTGCATTCAGCCTTAATAATTCTTCCCTGTATAATACTCAGGCCTGCAAATACAGTTGGTGCACCCGTAATAATGGCTGCTCTACCTACAGCGTGATCAAGAGATGGAAAGCAGCGGCCTAATAGCTAGCACGTTTTGGCAACAGATCAGCACTGATAACTTCAGTGAGTCAACTTTCCCTACGCAGGTAAATACAGATGAAATTGCCATCAGTTGCAAGGGATTTCAATTATGCTTGAAACAAGGTCAAAACCAAATTATTTAAGAATGTGGAAATAAATAAAGACCACCCAAATGAGAATAAAGGGAGGCTATTTATTCATAGCTAGCTATAGCAAGGGAGTTAGTCACCATGACTTACTTGCCTTTGGCAGAGACTCCAAGGCAGGCAGAGGGATGAAAAAGCTTAATAATCAAAGTGGGGGAAAAAAGGCTTCAGGTGTGTTCTGTTTGGAGGGCATTGGCATCGGGAGGCGGGAGGCAGGCTAACTAGAAGAGGGGCAGCCTAGTAGAATATTTGGCTTTCTCTGGTTGATCCTGAGTCGGAAGCAGGGGCAAAAAGCAGGGAAGTTGGCAGTCATTGAGCAACTCCTGAGCATCCTGGGCCAATTGCTGCAGAGGCTGTGGTCTGGCTTCCTTGACTAGTTCCACAGAGGTTGTGGGTCAGAGTCCTATTGTTATATATGATACCTGACCATTGTCCATTTGTATATTCAGCCTCTCAAGAGTTTTTTCCATTCAGGAATTAAATTTGCAGGCTAGTTACTGCCGTGATAGCAGCATTGTTAACTCCTCTTGTCCAAAGATGGTGGGTAAACATAACATCAAATACTTCTTTTTAGGGTTTAGGATCACTCACCTCAGAGGCTCATGATATCAACATATTGAAAATGAACAAAGTGTTCATAGTCTCTCTGAATTGTCACTACAGAGGCAAGCAGTCAAAACAGCTCTGAAAATAAATGAAGTAAACTTGAACTGTGAGAAACTGCACTCACACGCATCAGGGCTTTAGGGGCCAGATGATGTGCTGCTTTTTCAGTAGGTCGTGGAGGACCTCTCTATTGTAGGAAGGACTACCAGAGTTGAGAGGAGGAAGGGATCGGTGCGAACTAGCATGGTCAAGGAAGACTTTCATGGGGAATGTGTGGGTGAAGCAAGGCCATCCAAGATGACGCCTGGGCAGGGAGAGATCACATGGGGAGGCAGTTTATGTAGTGCAGATAAAATTGGTCAAGTCGTATACTTAGAGATGAGATGGTAAATTTGATACAGATTCCGCTATGGCAGAGTGATGGGAGAAAGAACAAAATGAAAGAAAGGTGTAGAAGATATCATAAAGACTGTGAAATGCAGTGCTATTGACAGGAAAAAAAAAAAAGGAAAGAAGTTGGTTTAGGAGAATGTTGTATTCAAATTTGGATGTGTTTTTTGGAGGTGACAGAAGCAGGATATTCAAAAGGAATTACCTTTAGGCAGCTGGACATGTCCTACTGCATTTTAAAATGGGATATCATGACAAGTATATATCTGAAATACCCAGGGAAGTAATATTCTGAACCTGTAAATACATTCCTTTAAGGGAGAGACTATATAGAAAAAAAACACAAAACTCTTGAAACTTGAGTAATCGTCATGTCACTGACCAGGTGCCTGGAGAAACTCAGAGTGGGGTTTGGAAGCAATTAACTGCTTTTCCAGGTTGTTTCTTTTCCTTTTGTGTGTTAAGGAGATGTAACCACAGGCCATCCTGAAACTGACCAAGTGAGGCACTCAAAGGAGATGTAAGCAGCAGCCATCCTGAAACTGACCAAGCCAGGATATAACCACTAGCCATCCTGAAACTGACCCAGCCTCACCACAAGAGCTATGCCCATGACCTTTGCCTTATCTTTAATGCAAAGATCTCTCCAAGAGGAGCTTAGGTCTCATTATGTGGAAGCATGTTCTCCAGCTGAGCCTGTCCAAGCGAATACCTGCCTCTCCCTTTTGAATGTTCATTCCCCAACCAAATAAAAGTTCCTGCTTTCCTTTGTTCGGGGGCTCCATGACTTTGGAAATGATCCCTCATGGCCTCCTATTTGCTGCAAATACACTTGGCGAGACAACTTCCACTGGTGTAGAGCCTTATTTAACTCACCAAGAGGCGGGCCCACTTGGTTTGGTATCAGTCACACAAGGTGAAAGGAGAGATAAGAATTTGTGAAGGATTCAGAGAGGTAGGACTAGAAATTCACATATGGTAGTACCAAAGAATCTTGGGAAAGTCCATAAAGATGATGGGGGTAGGGGTCATGTCACATGATTTGAAGTAATCAGGACGAAGAACCACTGCAGAAAACACTGTATAAAATGCCCTGACATAATACTTTGAAATGTTCTTTCATTAGCTGATAAACTAAAAATACTATATTTTAAACACAAGATGAATTTTAAGAGTATCACTGTAAAGTTTGCAGCTTTGCCGCACATGAAAATTGAATACACAGAAAAGGAGCACTGGCTGTCTCTGTTTAGAAGCCTGCAAGCTAAATTATTTATACATAATTAAAATGAACAAATCAACTGAAGAAGTTACCATTCACACATCCCCAATAAATAAATAGCTGGTTATGTGGGAAGATGGGAAAATATATTATAAATACCAATGATTTCAAACCAGTAGCAATTGACTTCAATTTTTTTAATGTATAATTACTGATATCAGAGGCAGTTTGTGTAAATTTTACTGAAACACACTGAGTTGGGAAGAATTATGAAATGTATAAGCACGGAATAATTAGATTATATATTGTTGAGAGAACTAGTGACACAATTTTTCTAAGAATGAATCTTCTTTCCACACCTTTCAAAAAGGGACGCTCCTAAGCATTGAAACTCTGCTATTTTGTTAGAGCCAAGCGGTTTGATTTTTATTTTATCTCTCCCACCAAAATCTGCATAATAAGAGATTAGGAAGGAGTTTAAAACAAACGCTTCTTCCAACCCATTCCAGGTATCTCAGACTCTTCATTATTTTTTTTTTTTTGGTAAGTATATAGATGACACTCATAAACTAAATATGATCACTACATGAGAAAAGCTATACTCTAAATCTGTTGGTGAATATGAAAATTGGTAGATAAGAAGCAAGAGGTGTCACAATTTCAAATATGCATACTGACGACCTACTATTACACTGTTAGAAATTAACCGTGCAAAATGGTTTGTGTGACTTGCTTATGCAAAGTAAAATGTTGAAGGCATCTTAAGCATCTAATAATAAAAAAAATAGTCAAATAGTAAATTATGGCATATCTACATTATTCAGTAGTTGTCAGCTATTTAAAAGAATGAGCCACTTAGAAAATAAAAGTATGATACATTGTAAAAATAAAAACACATCCCAGGACACCCCTCCAGGCCCCCGTAGAACTCCCGAGATCCCGCGAGATCAGACTTCCTCCAGGAAGAGCGGGAGCGGCAGCGTCGCCTCAGGCCGCGTTCCGTCGTCCTCGCAGCTCTCGGATGCAGAGTGCGTTCAGCCCCGTCCTTTCCCTGATAGCGGCTGGAGAAAGGTATGTAGGCTATGATGTCGTGTCAGTAAATATTATTATACATACACATAGAAAATTGAAAAGTAGGTCTTGGAAAGATACTTCTCAAACTGTTAATGGTGGTTTCCTCAGCAATTCTTTAAGGATGGTCTAGGAAAGATTTGAGGAAGTTCTGCTCGTTCATTTATGCAAAATCTGTAAGTTTAATTACTTACATTTTTATAATTTGTTTTTATTATTGTCTTATTCCTGTCTCTTGTTTACAGTTTTTTTGAGATAAGTTTTCTATTAAGCGTTGAATTATATGAGTTTTGACAAACACGTACGTCCAGGTAATCCACACCCTTATCAAGATAAGGAGCATTTCCCTCAGCTCCCTACCCTTTCTCAAACAATTTTCACCTGTCCGAGGCAACCACTGTTCTGAATATTTACACTAAAATTTAGTTTTGCTGTTCTATATATGAAATCATACAGTAAGTACTAATTTGTGTTCAATTTCTTGAGGTCAGCATAATGTCAATGAGATTCTTCCATCTTGTTGCATGTATCAGCAGTTTATTCCTTTTTATTGCTGAGTAGTGTACCATTATATGAATGTATCCGAAGTCATCAGTCCACTCGCATGCCGATAGACGAGGGTTATTTCCAGTTTTTGATTGCTGAATAAAGCCTCTTTGAATAGTCTGATATAAGCCGTTTTTGGAGGTATATTTTTATTTCTCCTAGGCAAATGCTTTGGGCATATTTCTCATTGGAAATATATATATATATTTTTCCCCCAAGTGGAACTGCTGAGTCATAGAGTAGGTGGATATTTAATATTAGAAATAACTGATAAGCAGCTCTCCAAAGTGGTTTTAAGATTTTACACTCCAAACTGCAGTGTTTTAGAGGGTTGTAGTTGTTTATATATTTATGAGCATTGTTATCATCAATTTTTTTAGCATTAGCCATTCCAGTGGTCTTAATTTGTATTTTCCTAATGATTAGTGATACTCTGTACTTTTTCATGGGCTTATGGGCCCTCCTTGAGTCTTTCTTATGAAGTGTTTATTGTCTGTTTCTTTTGGTCTTAGGAATTATATATGTATTTTGGATAAAAGTCCTTTGTTACATATACATTTGCAAGTATTTTCTCTCAGTATGTGGCTTACCTATTTATACTTCTTAGCAGTGTCTTTTGACAAAAAAAGATTTGTTTTTCATGAAATCTGTTTTCACTTGTTTTTCTTTTAAATTTATCACTTTCTGTGAACTAAGAAATATTTGTCTATTACCATGTCATAAAGATATTTCCATCATGTTTTCTTCTAGAAGCTTTATAGTTTCAGCTTTTATTTTAGGGCATGATCCGTCTTGAGTTAATTTTTTCTGTATGAGATAAATGTCAAAGTTTTTTTTTTATATTGATATCCAGCATCATTTGTAGAAAATATTCTCCGTCTCCCACTGAATAGGGGAATTGGCACTCTATTTCTTGATATATTTGCTTATTCTCATGTCAATCTCATACTGTCTTTATAATAACTTCATAGTAAGCCTCAATGTTAGGGCCTATTTCTTTTCCAACTTACTATTTGTTTGTTTTTCAAGATTGTTTTTGACTATCAGAGGACCTTTGAAATTCCACTTATATTTTAGAAATAGCTTGTAAATTTCTATTTAAAAATATACTGGGGTTATGACTGGGATTGCATTGAATCTATAACTTTATTTGGAGATGTCAATTTAAGAGTATTGAGTCTTCTAATCTGTGAACGTGGATATCATTCAATTTATCTAATCTTCATTAATTTATCTTATCTGTTTTATTGTTTTCAATAGGGATATTTTAGGGATATTAGACAGCTTTAGTTAAAATTATTCTTGGGCCGGCCCTGTGGCTTGGTGGTTAAGTGCGTGCGCTGCGATGCTGGTGGCCCGGGTTCGGATCCCCGGTGCGCATCGAGGCACCACTTCTCCGTTCATCCTGAGGCCGAGTCCCGCATACAGCAACTGGAGGGATGTGCAGCTATGACATACAACTATCTACTGGGGCTTTGGGGGGAAAAAATAAAATAAATAAAATCTTTAAAATTATTCTTAAATATTTTATGTTTTTTGGTGCTATAAAAATAAAAAGTTTTTTTTCCTGAATTTCACTTTCATTTGTTTGCTTATAGTATATGGAAATATAGTTGACTTTTGTTTACTGATTTCGTGTTCACTTATTCAAATACCCATGTGCTACATTCCAAGCACGTGCCCAACATTCTATACCTCTTGAGTTTGTGCTCTTTATAGCACTGGGGGTTTCACATCCGTATTGCTATGACTTATGGTGCATTTTTTCCTGTGGTTCTGATTAAGAACTTAGTTGACATGGTTGAAAGAATATCAATGCTATGCTATTCCAGTCCTGATGAAACCTTCCCAATTTAATAATTGTGATTAATTACATTGCAATTTTTTTAGGTACATCCTATATATATATATATAACGTATAATACACACATATATAAATATATGCATACATTCATATATGTACATTCATATAAACATATACATATACATGCATATAATATAGTTATTATATATACAGTTAAGTATATATATGTATACGTATTCATATACATATAGATACACACACATATGTAATAACCACTCAGTTAATCAATAATTGTGATTATGGCTTACTGGGTAGCTCTGGGAAAACTGCTTAACTTCTCTGTGTTTCACTTACCATGTAAATAAAAATAACTCTGATCTATACTGGGAGGTTTACTAAGGTGAATAAAGATAGTTAAATTTCTTAGGGAGAATTTGAGCTAAATTTTTATGTACGTATCATACCAGTTGATATCGAAATATAATTTCTTACTCTCTCCCCCAAAGTGTGGCATTATTTGCTGTTTGTTTCTTCTAAAATAGTTCAGTGAGAACTGAACTTTTTTAAGATTGACCTTTATTAAGATTTATTTTTAAAGGCGGGAACATTAGAATTGCATATTGTTTTGGCCTGGAATAGAGCTTTGGTGTTTTATATTGTTATTATTTTGTGTAAATACCTTTCATGGTAGGGAGTCTTAGAAGGTTTTGATATGATTAGCTGTAAGGTTGTTTTCATAATGAAACAGAAATGTAAAGTCAAAGGCTAAAATCCTGGTTATAAGGTTTTTCTGCTTTTGTTTTCAAACGTTTTTTATTTTATTAAGAGGATTTGTGCTTGCCCAAATATCTTGATGTCTAAGTCTGTCAATTGCCTTTTGTCAGATTCTAAGACCACATAATTATAAATGGGAAAAGTTCTTATCTGAATAGCTTTCTGATCATCAGTTTGTTTACTGTATGGGTAACCATTGTGAATAATGTAATGAATATTGTATTTCCTGCTCTGCTCTTCCTTTCTTGCATGCTGTGATGATCCCAAAAGAAAGCAAAAATGTGTTGATGTAATTACACGTTCAGGGTAATATCTAGATGAGTTGAATGCAGTTTCTTATGCGTCTAAGGATATAAGCCTCTCAGTTAATCACAGTTGGAGTTATCCAACTGGTTATTTTATTTTATTTTTTTAAAGATTTTATTTATTTTTTGCCCCCAAAGCCCCAGTAGATAGTTGTATGTCACAGCTGCACACCCTTCTAGTTGCTGTATGTGGGACTCGGCCTCAGGCTGGACAGAGAAGTGGTGCCTCGATGAGCACCCGGGATCCGAACCCGGGCCGCCAGCATCGCAGCGCGCGCACTTAACCACCAAGCCACAGGGCCGGCCCATCCAACTGGTTATTTTAATTTCTTCTTATGCATTGGAGATTTTTTTCCTCCTTTGTTAGTCTTAGAAATAGAAAATATGCTCAGTGGACATCTTACCTCTTAACTCAAAAGGTATATCCCATTCTTACCCTGGTGTAAAATTTCAGTCTCTTTTTGTGAAAAATGAGGTAGTACTTTTAATATGCAGCTAGGCAGTCAGTACTGAAACAGAGACCTAGATCTTTGTGAACTTCACAAGTCATGACTCAGTTTTTAAAATGCAATGCCATCATTAATATTAAACACTTTGGAACCAAAGTAATGTTATCTCTGTGTCATTTCTTACCCACTGAACGTAGTATGGTTATGAGTTGATAGTAGATGCAGACTGGGAAGTGACAGTGTAATGTCATTCCCTGCCCTCCACCGTTTAGTGTGGTTGGCTTCTCTGGGTCTGTTCTGTTTTGGTTTATTCACTTTTGTTCTATATCCCCTCTGGAAGGTTTGTAACCAAGTATGGATTTAATTATTGTTTATGCACAGACCAAAGTCTATTTTCCCTGGTGGTTAGTTCCCCACGCCCCACCCCACTATGTATTATTGTTGTTTCTCTTTTAACATTCAACTATTTTCCTTTAAGATTAAAAGTGAGAAAATATGTCTTTTTTCATTCATGGAAATATTAGCCATTTATATGGCTTTTCATTTTTGTGGGAAGATCTAAATCCTGTCTGATATCATGTTATTTCTGTCTGAAGAACTTCCTTTAACATGTCTTGTAGTGGAGGTCGGTGGCAGTAGATTCTCTCAGCTATTGATTTTCAGAGAGAGTCTTTATTTTGCTTTTAATCTTAGAAAGGTATTGTTCTGGGTATAGTATTCTTTGCTGGAAAGTTTTTTTTGTTTTGTTTTGTTTTTCAGAATACTTAAACACATTGCTGTAATTCTTTTGTCTTGCAAAGTTTGTGACAAGAAGTTGGCTGTAACTTTTTTTGTTCCTCTGTACATAATATGTCTTTTTGATCTGGTTATTTTAAGGATGTTTCTTTTGGAAATTTGATTATGATGTGCTTTGGTGTCTTTATTTGGAGTGATTATTTGAGCTTCTTTGTTTTTGTGGGCATATAGTTTCCATCACGTTTAGGAAAGTTTTGGCCGTTATTTCTCCAAATGTTTTTTTCTGTCCCTGCCTTTGTTCCTTTCTCTCTAGACTGCAAAATATTAGACTTTTTGATCTTGTTCCACAGATCACTGATGTTTATTTATTTCAGTCTTTTATTTACT